TCGGAAAATATATCAATTAAACGTTGAATTATTTTTTTTCCCCAGAATATATGCCAAACTATTATTTATTATATTAAAATAAGGGCCAGAAAAAATATAGTCATCTAAAAGAAACATATCAATCAATTTGATCTGTTATTTTAATTATAACATCAATTCTAATTACCTATTGATTATTATTGTTTGTTATTTGGATTAATTTGATGTCTAGTGGGAAGAGAAGGAATTCCATTATGAATCCACTGTCTTAATCCTCTTACCACTTTCCCATACTAATCCATGGTTAGGCTTAGGGTTAACACGGATGCTTTATCTAAACATCTGCCTCTATCCAAATTTTACCACGATTATTAAATAAGGGTTGATAATTATAATTGAATAACCGTGTTAGATGGGGGCAATTATTTTCAATTATATATATAATGATACTTGATATTAACACAAAGCAATAACGTGCTATCTATATATATAAAATGAAAGGATTTAAGGACGATTGTTTCTTTTATACAATACAAACTTCTACTGTCCTTACTGCGATGAAAAAATATATTGGAAAGGCTTGGATCATCAGTAATAAACCCCTCCAACGGTTTCGCCAATTTAATCTACCAGACTACTTCTTATAGGTCTACCCTGAGATTCCATCCTTCAGTATAGCATATATAAGCAGAATCGTTCAATATAGTATTAGAACTCTAAGAAGCGGTCTGGTGGATTAAATTGCCGAAACCGCTGGGAGGGTTCTCCACTGATGAGTCAAGCCCTCCCAATATATATTTTTTTCATCGCAGTAAGGACAGTAGAGTTTGGATTGTATATAAAATAATTATTTGTGCTTAGGTACTTTATATGATACCATTTTTGAATGTATATCAATTAAGAAGGATCAGAAGATGAGTTTCTTTTATTGTATGAATGCTGCGAGCTTTCGGGCAAAAGCCTTTCGACAGGCAAAAATATAACTATACTTAGAAAGATAACAATTTATATATGTTAATCTTAACAGAAGACCGTTTTTTGAGGAAAGTAAATAGTCCACTACAGTCTACTACAGAATAGAAATTCGGCTCACCAAGCCAGGGACGATATAGGCAGCAATGCCCTTGCGTCCCCTCTAGCGTCACACAGCCCGAAGGAATGATGCATTCTCCATGCATCGAGCGGCCTTTGGTAGGCCCCTCGCGCCCGCCAGTATGGTCCGGCTACAATGGGGTTGACCATTCACCCACAGGCGTCTCCGAGAGTTCATTGGCAAGGTTGCTGACCGAGCCCTCTCGTTCGGGCTTAGATCGACCCGTCCTACGCTCCAATAGGACTCCCCCCCTTTAGCCCTCGCACCCTTACCCAGTCCTCCCTTAATCTGCCGTCGAATCAAGGACCTCTGAGGTGCCGAGGTTGACGCGGGGAAACCAACGCGGAGGCGGGGGGGTGGTACTACTGTGTGCACCCCTGTGTGCACAGTCTACTACAAGAAAAACCACCCCCCCAGATACACCCATTATAGGTCACATTGTCCAACCTCCCACAAAATCAATATAGTTAAAGCCCTCACCCGCCGCCTATTAACCCACTGCTCACTCCCCATTTTCAAAACTATTGAAAAGAACCGCATCATCTCCCATCTTACAATTTCAGGTTTCCCTCTATCCTTCATAGAAAAACACACCTATTCACCTGTTCCTCTCAACCCTCCTGCAACTTACAAATCCACATGTGTGATCCCATTCTCTCCCCTCTCAGTTAACCTCTCCCGTTTCCTCAAACCCTTTGGCATCCGTACTTTTTTACTAACACACCTAACCTCCACTCACTCCTTAGGCATCCCATCACAAAAACCGACTCCTCCACTGATCCTCTAACATTTTCTAGGGCAGTCTACTCGGTCTCGTGCCAACAGTGTCCTGCCACCTATGTGGGGGGAGACCGGTAGAACCATCGCCATCAGAATGTCCGAACACACGCAACATCACCAACCGAGATACCCGTTCCCTTAATTTTCAACACATAGAATCTTCTGGCCATTCCTTTGACACTGCTAACCCAACCATTCACTACAAAAATATCTCCAACCTACACCAGAGATTGGTTCTGGAATCCATAGTTTCATCTAAGCTACACAGCATAAATAGAAAAATAGACATCCCCGCAGCCTACACAAACTACATTTAAACCTCCCACATGTTTATTTCAATAGCCCAAACCATGCGCCGTCTCGTGGTTTCAGACTGCAGATTTAATATTTACTTTCCTCAAAAAACGGTCTTCTGTTAAGATTAACATATATAAATTGTTATCTTTCTAAGTATAGTTATATTTTTGCCTGTCGAAGGGCTTTTGCCCGAAAGCTCGTAGCATTCATACAATAAAAGAAACTCATCTTCTGATCCTTCTTAATTGATATACCTTACTAGAAGAGTCTTTACCTTTAATTTTTGAATGTAACCTTTAATAAATGAAAATATTTCTACTGTCCTTACTGCGATGAAATGTGCACTCATGGTCAAAACTTAGAGAAGTGGAAAATCTTTGATATCGTCGGTCATTTTATTTCTTGAAAGAGACAGAGATATATTTTTTTACCACTTGGTTATCTCGTGTATACCTAAATATAGGTTACCGTGCATCAAAAATCTTTCAGAGTTGTTGTCTAAATTTGTAATTTTAAAACCCAGCTAAATGTTAACAGAAAATTTCCTACATTTGTATGATTTACTTATCAACAGGAAATGCAACCAATATTTTTTCATCGCAGTAAGGACAGTAGAAGTTTGTTTTATGTTTGAAAAGAAATTTGTGATTTCTTTTATGCTTCCATTCCTTATATACAGATGGTATGTTATCACAAAATATGTATCTGAAAATATGACATAACACCATCACAGTCATTTATGTAGACATTGATTGTAGATATTGCCAGCAATTTCTTTTTTTTTTGTCACAGTTTTCATTTCTCGTTAAGCTTTAAGAGCCTCATTTGCCCTTAGGATGTTTAAACTCTTATATTGTTTCTCTTATTTTTAAATAATAATAATAAATGAACCATTTTAATGTAACTATACCAATACCTCGCTTTGCGTCGTTTCGTTTTGCGTTTTTTTCGAAGTTGCGTCGCTGCTTAATTTTTACTGATTTTCATTGTGCGTCGTTATATTTTCGAAGTTGCGTTGTTTTGGATTCGAGTCTTTAATTTTTTTCGATTTATTTTCCTAAAATATAGCAACACCTTTGTTTTTGATTGCGCCTTCACATATTTTCACTTTGCGTCGTTTCAATTTGCGTCGTGTTTTTTTGGAACGTAACCTCGACACAAAGCGAGGTATGGGTGTATTTGATGGCAATGTTTTTTATTTTTATCTCTATCTTTCTCTTTGTTAATATCATATGACTATTCTATTCACGACCTAAAATTATTGTATATATATGTATAGACAAATGTAAAAACATACATGTATGACAGCGCAAGTGTCCCTAAGGGGACATAGCCCTTTAAAAATTGAAATAAAGAAATTGTTGATGGAATTCTTTAACATAGTTCAGTATATCAATAATTTGGTGAATTTATACCTATTTTATTTTGTATTAAATGCTTTAACATCACTTCAGTAAATATAAAATGTGGTGTATTTATTATATATATATTATATTTTATTGTGAATGAAGCCTTCAACATATCAGTTGAGCCAATCTAAATTTTGGTAATTTGAACAATTTATATTATTGAAGTTATCTATTTGTTGGAATTATGCATTTATCAAAATTATATATATATATATGTTATAAAAACAAATGAGATTTTCTGCTGAATCTGAAATTGTTGAGATTATGCTATGGTGATGCAGTCGTGGGAATAATAAAATAATTTTGATCAGAGATTTCTTTATTTGAGCTGAGGAATATATATAAAAGAACATAATTTGATAAAATTAATGCCTGGCTTAAGGCGAGTAGAATGAGGAAAACAAAAGATTATTTACATAATGTACAAAAGATTTGAGCCGGCCATTGGGATAAAACAACAACGAGTTTTTATAGGGGAAGAGTGACCTCTGGCGGTCGATTTAGCAGAGTATTTGAATCTATGAAATTATAATTATATAATAAAAATATATTTTTATATAACATATATATGTGAGTGAAATTTCAAAATTAATTCTATAATTAATGGAAATAATAATTTAAAATGATTACAAAGTTTTTTAAAAAAAGCACACAATTGATCAACTTCTAAATTCTACTATCAAAAAGCATTCTGAAAACTTTTAAACTTAGTGATACGTTTTTATATATATAATAATATAACATCCCCTCTTCTAAAAATGGCGAAATACGAGATATAGTGTCACTTTTCAGAAATATTCATTTCAACTCTCTATATATTTATTTGAACACATTATATTGCGAAAAAAGTAAACAAACTATAATATTCACAATGTTAACTATTTATAATACGTGGGTTTCATTTTAAATATAATATTTTTTCACTGTTCTCATTGAAAATAGTTGGCATAGATTTATTTAAAAAAACGAAACTAATGTTTCTAAATAATTCATATTTTCAATAACAGATGGCGTGATAATGCCACTTGTTTAAATAATAAAAATATATATTTATATATTTCGCAACTTAGAAGAGTTTATTTTTTTTAATATGTATTTTTTCAAATAATCAAATATATTAACAAAAAAAAAAGATATATTTACTGTAAAGATGGCTTTTCATCAATACCTACCCACGCAGCTGATGGCCTATTGCGCATGCGCAACAAGTTGTAACGCGTTAGCTGACGGCCTAGGTACCGAACTCGCTCTGGGTTTAGATTAGTTTGCTAAACCGAAACCAAACTTTTTATGTAAATATGGGAGAAATATCTTAGAAATTCTGCTTTATTGATTAATCATTCGAAACTTTGTCTATTTTTCTTGGATTTTTTGGAATATTTTGTTCATAAATGTTATGTTAATGTTATATACGGATTTATTTATTTATTAATGAAAAAAATCGCAACCGACGGGATTCGAACCCGCGAGGGGATGAGACCCCAATGGATTATAAGTCCATCGCCTTAGACCACTCGGCCACGGCTGCTCATATGTAAATATGAATTTTTAATATATATTTTAAATTAGAATATTTACACAAACTGTTAATATACTTATTTATAACGAATATTTAAAAGTTTTGAATATTGATTTTAGATGATCATCCCGGATTTATCTGAGTACTGCACATGTCAATGTTGACCTGATCATTATTAGGTAAACAAAATATTATTATTTTTAGTAGTGAAAGTATAACCTCTTTCAGATTTCTCTCTCTATATATTTTTATGGCAGATTTATTCTTCAAAAAGGTAAGTTTTTGTACTATATTGTATCGAACAATTTGTAGTAAATATTTGGTGGGAATATCATAAATTTCAAGTTATTGTAAACTATTTTGCACTGTGTTCATAATACATACTGTATAAATCTATTTTAATTTATATATACCTTTATTATATTAAGTAATTTATAATTACTTTTCTTTCAGTTTTAAATTACTTATTTTACTTTATTTGTTTTACTTTTTGTCTTCTTTTATTCATTTTATGTTTTATTTTACTATTAATACCCTCTTTATCAAACTTTAACTTCACTTTTACTTTTTCAACTTTTGCATTAATTCAATTTTACTTTTTCAACATTTAATTACTCAGCCCATATATTTTACCTATAATTTACCTTTACTATACATACTTTTATCTTTCTCTATTTTACTCTACTCTCACTTTTTTTATTTTATTTTATATTATATTTGATTTATTATAACTTTTTTCTATTTATTTTAGATAACTTATTCACTCCTACTTTTTGAATAAACGTTACTAAATTTACTTTTTAAAAATTTAAATCATACTTTACATTGCTAAATATCTGCTTACATTTCATATTGCCTTTATATCTTTACACTCAACACAACACACAACAGCATTTTAACCTCTTCATATATCTTAATTCACTTTGTAACCACACTCTTTTTACTCTTGTTTTCTTCTTTTACCTTAATTTAAATGTTTATACAATTTCAAAACTTTTACATTTACCTTCTTCATTTTTACCCATAATTTATATTGCTCTAATTTACTCATATTTCACATTGCCTTTATACCTTTATATCTTTACACTCATTTAAACCACTTCATTCAATCTTAATTTACTTTTCAAACCCATTTTTACATTTGTTTTCTTACTTTTACCTCAACTTGAATGTATTTATAATTTTAAAAACTTACATTTAATATCTTCATTTTTATGCATACTTTACATTGCTTTAATTTACTCATATTTCACATTGCCTTTACACCTTTATATCTTTATACTTCTTTAAACTTCTTCATTTGATCTTAATTCACTTTTTAAACCTATTTTTACTTTTTTTTTTCTTATTTCACCTCAATTTGAATGTATTTATAATTTTAATAACTTTTACATTAACCTTCTTCATTTTACACATACTTTACCTTGGTCTAATTTACTCATATTTCACATTGGCTTTATACCTTTATATCTTTACACTCCTTTTAACTTCTTCATTCAATCTTAAATTAATTTTCAAACCCATTATTACTTTTGTTTTCTTACCTTAACCTCAATTTGAAGGTATTTATAATTTAAATATTTTACATTTATATTTATAAATTTAATTGACATCTATATCGTTAAAAATTTGTACAAATTAATTTACTAGCAATATGTTTCTTTTCAATAATATCATCAAATATTATCTCTACAGACCTTACTGCAATGATATAAATTATTGAAATATAAAAAATATTCATTTAAAAACTCATATCATTGAAGTAAGGTATGTAGAGATAATATTTGATAATATAATTTATAGGAGACACATTGCCAGTGAATTTATTTGTACAAACTTTTACATTCACCTTCATTTTTAAACATACTTCACATTGCCTTAATTCTACTTATATTTTACATTGCCTTTATACCTTTATATCTTTACACTCACACAAAAAACACATTTCAAACTTTCCATACACTCTAGATTAACCTTTAAACTCGTTTTTACTATTATTATTTTCACTTTTATTTAAATTTATTTATAATTTTAAAAACCACTACCCACTACAATTATCATGTGGCCTGGTACTACAAGTGTAGCGAAGTTGTGTAATTAGAGTACAAGCAGTCACAACCTTCTACCCACTATAATTATCATAGTCTGGTACTACAAATGTAGCCATGTTGTGTAATCACAGTATAAACTGCCATAACCCTCTACCCACTATAATTATCATAGTCTGGTACTACAAATGTAGCCATGTTGTGTAATCACAGTATAAACTGCCATAACCCTCTACCCACTACAATAAGCATGGCCTGGTACTACAAATGTAGCCATGTTGTGTAATCACAGTATAAACTGCCATAACCCTCTACCCACTATAATTATCATAGTCTGGTACTACAAATGTAGCCATGTTGTGTAATCACAGTATAAACTGCCATAACCCTCTACCCACTACAATTATCATAGCCTGGTACTACAAATGTAGCCATGTTGTGTAATCACAGTATAAACTGCCATAACCCTCTACCCACTATAATTATCATAGTCTGGTACTACAAATGTAGCCATGTTGTTTAATCACAGTATAAACTGCCATAACCCTCTACCCACTACAATTATCATAGTCTGGTACTACAAGTGTAGCCATGTTGTTTAATCACAGTATAAACTCCCATAACCCTCTACCCACTACAATTATCATAGCCTGGTACTACAAATGTAGCCATGTTGTGTAACCACAGAATAAACTGCCATAACCCTCTACCCACTACAATTATCATAGCCTGGTACTACAAATGTAGCCATGTTGTGTAATCACAGTATAAACTGCCATAACCCTGTACCCACTACAATTATCATAGCCTGGTACTACAAATGTAACCATGTTATGTACTTACAGTACAAGCTGTCATAACCCTCTACCCACTACAATTATCATAGCCTGGTACTACAAATGTAGCCATGTTGTGTAATCACAGTATAAACTGCCATAACCCTGTACCCACTACAATAAGCATGGCCTGGTACTACAAATGTAGCCATGTTATGTACTTACAGTACAGGCTGTCATAACCCTCTACCCACTACAATTAGCATGGCCTGGTACTACAAGTGTAGCCATGTTGTGTAATTACAGTACAAGCTGTCGTAACCATCTACCCACTACAATTAGCATGGCCTGGTACTACAAGTGTGACCATGTTATGTACTAACAGTCCAAGCTGTCACAACCCTCTACCCACTACAATTAGCATGGCCTGGTATTACAAGTGTAGCCATGTTGTGTACTTACAGTACAAGCTGTCACAACCATCTACCTACTACCATTATCATGGCCTGGTACTACAAGTGTAACCATGTTGTGTAATTACAGTATAAACTTCTATAACCCTCTACCCACTACAATTATCATGGCCTGGTAATACAAGTGTAATGATGTTGTGTACTTACAGTACAAACTGTCACAACCATCTACCCGCTACAATTATCATGGCCTGGTACTACAAGTGTAACCATGTTGTGTACTTACAGTACAAACTGTCACAACCATCTACCCACCACAATTAACATGGCCTGGTTCTAAAAGTGTAGCCATGTTGTGTACTTACAGTACAAGCTGCCACAACCCTCTACCTACTACAATTATCATGGCCTGGTACTTCAAGTGTAGCCATGTTGTGTAATTACAGTACAAGCTGTCACAACCATCTACCCACTACAATCAGCATGGCCTGGTACTACAAGTGTAGCCATGTTGTGTACTTACAGTACAAACTGTCACAACCATCTACCCACCACAATTAACATGGCCTGGTTCTAAAAGTGTAGCCATGTTGTGTACTTACAGTACAAGCTGTCACAACCCTCTACCTACTACAATTAGCATGGCCTGGTATTACAAGTGTAGCCATGTTGTGTACTTACAGTACAAGCTGTCACAACTATCTACCCACTACAATTAACATGGCCTGGTACTACAAGTGTAACAATGTTGTGTACTTACAGTACAAGCTGTCACACCAATCTACCCACTACAATTATCATGGCCTGGTACTACAAGTGTAGCCATGTTGTGTATTTACAGTATAAGCTGTCACAACCATCTACCCACTACAATTAGCATGGCCTGCTACTACAAGTGTAGCCATGTTGTGTAATTACAGTATAAGCTGTCACAACCATCTACCCACTACAAATATCATGGCCTGGTACTACAAGTGTAGCCATGGTGTGAACTTACAGTACAAGCTGTCACAACCATCTACCCACTACAATTATCATGGCCTGGTACTACAAGTGTAGCCATGTTATGTTGTGTAATTACAGTATAAGCTATCACAACCATCTACCCACTACAATTATCATGGCCTGGTACTACAAGTGTAGCCATGTTGTGTACTTACAGTACAAGCTGTCACAACCCTCTACCTACTACAATTAGCATGGCCTGGTATTACAAGTGTAGCCATGTTGTGTACTTACAGTACAAGCTGTCACAACCCTCTACCTACTACAATTAGCATGGCCTGGTACTACAAGTGTAGCCATGTTGTGTACTTACAGTACAAGCTGTCACAACCCTCTACCTACTACAATTAGCATGGCCTGGTATTACAAGTGTAGCCATGTTGTGTACTTACAGTACAAGCTGTCACAACCCTCTACCCACTACAATTATCATGGCCTGGTACTACAAGTGTAGCCATGTTGTGTACTTACAGTACAAGCTGTCACAACCAACTACCCGCTACAATTATCATGGCCTGGTACTACAAGTGTAGCCATGTTGTGTACTTACAGTACAAGCTGTCACAACCATCTACCCACTACAATTAGCATTGTCTGGAACTACTAGTGTAGCCTTGTTGTGTACTTACAATACAAGCTATCACACCAATCTACCCACTACAATTATCATGGCCTGGTACTACAAGTATAGCCTTGTTGTGTATTTACAGTATAAGCTGTCACAACCATCTACCCACTACAATTAGCATGGCCTGGTACTACAAGTG